TAACTAAACGTTTCAGATAGAGTCAAAGTGTTCATCTAAGCAAATGTTTTTTCTGGTGCAGAAAATGCATATCATTCCTGAAGACCTTTCTTTCCTGTCAAAAACATTGATTGGATTCATACTTTGTGTCCGTTTCTTTTGTTGTTTCCTGGTTGCTTGTTCTGCTGTGCTCGTATCGGTCTTATGTACCTATTCAGGCAAAATGTGACTTTTAATAATGGACTTGACATAGATCTACATGGCGGGTGTTTGTCGATGAAGCATAAGACGCTTACACTTCTGGAACAGCTGGTCTAGTTCTTCTTGTTCTTCTTGTACTTTTTCAAAAGTCTCCTTTTAAATCTTTCCTGTGTTCACCTTTTGTCCTAGTCTTACCGATCTTGAGATCGAAGTATGGTTTAGTTGATACAACGATATTCTCTTTTTTTATTCAAACTTGTTCCAGGAGCTGTGAAGCAAATATGATTGTTTTTGCATTCATACAAAGTAATGGCCCAATTTTAATGAAGGATAGAGGAAAATCAAACTGATTTAATTTAGTTGATTCGAAACTCTAAAGCAGAAATTGTAACAAACACCTCTGGCATTGTTTCATATATCAAGGTTATAGTTAACTATACTGAAACATTCAGTGTTTCATTATGAGAGATATAATAATTTAGAGCTATCAGAAAGTAGGAGAGTGAAAGAAAATATCGAAATATCTCGTAAAAAATAAAACAAAAGTTTTAAGGTAGCGTTCAGGACGAATGAGGTGTGATATTATGAACTTTTAAACAACCAAACTATACTGTTATTGCCCAATATGGAATAACAATAACTGCGGTGCCTTATATCTCAATTATCAGCCTAATCCCAGACAACACGATAATTTGGTAAACCGCGAGTAGCACGCCACCTAATATGTTTGTCTGGTAATATAACCGGAAGCTATCGATTATCTTTCTCTGAACACTGACGTTAATGTAATTTACAGCAGAAATATTACCGTAGTATCAAAAGGCAAGAATAACGTCTGATGTTTGATATTGGCGACATTGTGATGTGAAAACCAAAATATCGGCTGATCTTAACACACGCTACTTAAACATGTAACTATGGTGAGAATATCTTTTTCATACACAAACCTAAAAACTCTCTCAGATACATATGTCGGAAACAAAATATGATTTGAAATTTACAACAACAAAAAATGAGATATTAAGTGCAATATAATTAATGTGTTGTTTCCTGATCAAAATGTGCCGTTGTTGTTCTATTTATTTTTCTAACCGCAAAATATTAATCTTCTCTTATAATCTTTTTTGACCCAATGACCTCGTTATGCGGACTTGTTAAATAGAAATTAAAATGGTTACTTGAATATTTGTACACTTCGTATCAAGTTGTAATAGGTACTTCTGCTATATTGTATTGTATGAGTATAGGACCCGACTACTGTGGACCTACATATTTCGAAGCTTTGTATGACATTGACAGTATACTAGTATGATCTCCTAGAATATTCACGGGTCTCTACTCTATGGCTATGCTGATCTTGGTTCTTGTATCTACTGTTTTCCTGACAATGACATTTCTCTACACGTATGTCGTCATATGACCTATACCTTGCTGCTATCCCAACCTTGACTCATGTCCTCTGTATAGTTTCATGTATCTACTTTACTGTTTTCCTGACCTTGATACCTCTCTTTACACTCGTCTTATTAAACCGTTGTATACTGTCATAGCTATAGTGTCCCTGGTGTTGATATTTCTCTGTATGCACATGGTCTTTATACCTATGTATGGCTTCTCTTATATAAGCTAGTGTTGTCATTTTTATTATATTTTCGTTATGTTTCTCTTAACACACTGTTCATATGGTCTCTGTGTTGTTGTTTCTTTCCTGACTGTATTGACTCTTTTGACACCCGTCGTCATTAGACCTGTGTATCGTGCTTTACAAAAGTGTTGCTCCTGGCAACTGTAGTCACCTGACCTATGTGTTGATTGACTACGCCGAACAAATCTTTGTTTCGTTGCTGATCAGTGATACGTGAAAGACCACGTTGCATATTGGCTCCATATTACGGGACTGGAAAACGATCTATTGATGTACCAGCATCAAAGCTGAATCTATTATATATCGTAATGCTGACGCCCACTGTCTCCATAGCGTTGGTTAATGTAACGAACAGCAGCATTATACTTAATATATAAAACAAAATGCTGGTTTGGGATCATCCGATTTCTGTTGGTTCTCGTTACTCATATCATTCTCATACCGTGTCGCTAGCTCATATGTCAAATTAACTCAAAAGATTGTGCTATTGGCACTAGTACCGTATACCAACAGATGTATTCTATATGCTTTTAGACCACTGGCTTCCGGCTTAATAGTCAACTGACATGTTTAGAACACTGGTTTCGAGCTAAATCGTCAACTTACAGTTTTTAACCACTGGCTTCCAGCTTATTTGTCCACTGACAGTTTCAGACCACTGGCTTCCAGCTTATTTGTCCACTGGCATTTTAAACCACTGGCTTCCAGCTTATTTGCCCACTGACAGTTTGATACCACTGTCTTCAAGCGTATTTGTCCACTGACAGTTTGATACCACTGGCCTCCAGCTTATTTGTCCATTGACATTTTTTAACCACTAGCTTCCAGCTTATTTGTCCACTAACAATTTTAGACCACTGGCTTTCAGCTTATTTGCCCACTGACAGTTTGATACTACTGGCTTCCAGCTTATTTGTCCACTTACAGTTTCAGACCACTGGCCTCCAACTTATTTGTCCACTGACAGTTTTAGACCACTGGCTTCCAGCTTATTTGTCCACTTACAGTTTCAGACCACTGGCCTCCAGCTTATTTGTCCACTTACAGTTTCAGACCACTGGCCTCCAACTTATTTGTCCACTGACAGTTTTAGACCACTGGCTTCCAGCTTATTTGTCCACTGACAGTTTCAGACCACTGGCCTCCAGCTTATTTGTCCACTTACAGTTTCAGACCACAGGCCTCTAGCTTATTTTTCCACTGACAGTTTTAGACCACAGGCCTCTAGCTTATTTTTCCAATGACAGTTTTATACCACTTTCCTCCAGCTTATTTGTCCACTGACAGTTTTAGACCACTGGCTTTTAAGTGAATTGACACTTTTAGACCACTGGTTTCTAGCTAAGTAGTCAAAAGTCAGTTCCAGACTATAAGCTGTAACCAGTGTCAACCGACAGTTGTAAGTTACTAGTTCCGATCTTTGTCGTCAACTAAAAGTTTTGGCTACTCGCGCTGGTCTAAATCGTCCAAGCCTGGAAGCTATGGAGCGGAATCGGGAAGGCAATATACTACGATAGAAATATTGGATAAGGATACGACGAAATCAGGAATAATATCAATAGCAAAATCAAACAGATGTTCTTTACCGACGACTTGTCAATCGATGACGCTGTACACGATATAATAGGTCATTCGTGGGTTTATGAAACTATTTACGTAATTTTGATACTAACTTATGACGTAACTATTAATTATTTTGTTTCTGTATTAGATATTATTTTCTAGTTCCTGGTTATCGAAGTAATGTCTTTGGTCTTTGGCATCGCCTATGGTCAGTACCGCAGTCCTCGGACTAATATCTAGGCCAATACAGCAGTCACCGGACCCATATCTTACTTAATACAGGAACAGACCAATCAATAATTCTATATTACTGCAGTTGAAGCGTCATGACATATTCAATTTGCAATCAGTTCATTAATTTGGATCATTGCATGACGTCAGTATCTGTGTCATTTAAGTGACGTAACAGTGACAGTATGAGCCTTATGTCTCATGAATTGATTAATAAACACTAGGAAAATGTATTTTCGTCCATTTAAGGACTAGTCAGCGGTTAAACAGTAGAGGTCAATATAATAGAAATCTTTCTAGAGTATTTTCAACCATCTGCAGAAAAACAGCAAAAAAAGAAAAATGTCTGAAATCATTTTATGACGTAACAAACATATGAACTCTTGACAACAACAGACGTTTTATTTTTAAACAATTATTTCATGTTAACCGACCACGAATAAATTCCAGCTATAAGGTTACGGCCAAATTCGGGGACTGATAGTCTACCAGTAGCTAAAAGGTTACGGCAAAATTCGATGATTGATAATCTACCAGTAGCTATGCTATAAGGTTACGGCCAAGTTCGGGGACTGATAGTCTACCAGTAGCTAAAAGGTTACGGCCAAGTTCGATGACTGATAATCTACCAGTAGCTATGCTATAAGGTCACGGCCATGTTCGGGGACTGATAGTCTACCAGTAGCTAAAAGGTTACGGCCAAGTTCGGGGACTGATAGTCTACCAGTAGCTAAAAGGTTACGGCCAAGTTCGGGGACTGATAATCTACCAGTAGCTATAAGGTAAAGGCCAAGTTCGGGGACTGATAGTCTACCAGCAGAATCAGTCACCTCATGACAAATAGTTCTAACTAGAAATGAAATTAACAAAAACCGCTTAATTTTTAAATTTAGGAAGTCAAAGCACTATATGGCCATTTTATCGAATTAAGACTCATCAATAGTACTTAAAACCAATGGAAATCGAAGTCTAAAATATTTCTGAACATACATGTAAGTAGAAATAAAGCAAATAAGGGGAATGCGCCTATCAAACCCTTTATTACATTACAAAATAGTACCTGTTGAAATCTGTTGATTTTTTGGCTAAAATATTGTTTCATTATTCGTTTGTCTTATTCTGTGATTTAATTTACAAATACCGTTTTCCGACCTTGTGATGTAATCAATAGTGTTGTTTGAGTATAAAGATTCGTGTGACGTAATCAATAATATTGTTGTGTGTCTGTTGTATTCTTCTAAATTAATCTGTGTTATTATTCGTTTGTCTCATTGTGTGACTAAATTAATGTATAACGTTTTCCGACCTTGTGACGTATTTGATAGTGTTGTTTGTGTATGTACATTCGTGTGACGTAATCAATACTGTTGTCGTGTTTTAGGGCCGCCAAGTTCCTGAGAGAGTGCTCCAGCAGTCGAGTGATCGCGGTGCTCGGATTTTTTGTGTCCCTGCCAGCCTTCCTCATAAGTACGTCTACTTCTAAAATACACACACAATGTATATCATTCATGTACGCTAAACATTTCATTGCAGTAAGACGCTTATTATGAGGAATGTTTCTTTAAGCAATTTGTTATCGAGTTAATTATGTCTAATTTGCTTATGAATACATAAGTATGAATGGTATCTTGAAATGTATCTTGTGCCCGTTCCTCTTATCAGTGTGACACTATACCCCTTTGCCTTGTATCTCTCTCTTTACAGTAACGTTGACACACACATTCAATGTTTTGTGAGGCAATTGTACGATTTAATTACCTCTCATGTCTATATCATTGACAAGGACCTATCTAACCTACTACTGATTTTTGTTGTAGCGCTGATACTCTTCGTGGTGTTACGGCTGGACTCGACACCCGCCGTCACTGCCACCGTCATCATGTCCATCGGAGTCCTCTTCGGCATCCTCAGTGTGATGCAGAACACCTACCACTGGCACTACGAAACAACGCGTGCTACAGATGGACTTCCGGTCTACGACACGAATTTACAGAACTCTCTACAAGAACGAAAACAAAGAAATGAACTGAATACACTCGTTTGATACCAGGCTTTCAGTTAGTTCGCTTATCGTTGCTGTATAATACAAATGCTCAATTACGCAATGTAAGATGTTTCTGTCCTGCCCAAATTGGACAGTACGCATTCACTTCCGGAACCGGAAATAGTTTACACACATGATAAATAAATGCTGCACACGTTTGATGATGCAATATTAGTGTCAAACGGATTGTTTCTGTTTAGAGTGCCCTGAATAGCTGTCGATGCGACAGTAAAACGGTCACATGCTTTATCAGCGAATATTGTGTTTCATTGATAGGAATATGACATGGAAACCAACCATTAAAGATATTGTGTTCATTCGACGTAAAATCTTAATGAAAATATCAGAACGAACGGTCATGCATTTGCCTATTTTTGCCATTGATATCATAGAAAAGCTTAACTTTGTTGAAAAAGGTGTGACTGTTGACGACAGAAATGTGTCTGTTCTTCAAACAGTACGCATTAGCGATGAACAGAGCTCCGAGTCCGTCTGCTATCGATCGGCAGCAGCACACAGCCCAAACGTTCCATGGATTCCTGATCCTCATTTAGACATATTGCATATCTTGGTAGAATTGATGTGTTTCAGAGAAATCCAGTTTGTTAAGTGTCATAAAAATCAGATTTAGAACAAACCAGTAGCAAATGATCTAGTGCTGTTATAACAATGCATGCATGCATTTTTTGTAAGTTGTAATTAATGCATTTGGAGAGAGAAAAATGTTTCGCTACGATCAAATATTGTTTATGCCTGTAACATCTGGTTATTTACACGGATGTGCATAGCCAAAAAGTCAGTCAGTAGTAGAACTGTTTTTGAATTTTTGACAAAACAAGACAAAGGAAGCGTTTTGTGCAATATACACCTTGTTCCGTAGGAGACATACTTGGAGATAGTGATCAGTATTCGTTGAGTGAAATTTGACTTCAGAGAGATCCTTAAGCAATATATGTTTGAGTTGTGTGTTGATCGGTTTAAATTTGGAAAATTTCGAGAGATGCGTCCATAGTTATCGATTGAAATCCTAAAAAAGGTTTTCTTAACAAAAAAGATGAAATGCAATTCGAATTAAGAAATATGTAAATATGAGATAAATGCGTTACATTAGATTATACCAATATGATACTATATATTAAAACAGTCCACGTCATGACTATCATTGCTAAGAGAGCTAATAAATTAACACGTGGTAATGTAAAAGCATACACAGAAAGCTATCGAATATGACCTGTTACTTTTAGCTTTAAGCTTTATATTGAATCGATTTGAGTTGTCTTTTGTATTCGACCTTGAACTGTAGACCGAGGTCGTCAACTGAATCATTCGACCATGAACTTGAATGTCCCGCCTGAACATTTAACCTTCGGTCTTAAGATGTAGTTCATCTGTTTAACTGATAGATAATTCGACAATTGAACATTAAATCAAAATTAATTGTAGAAATAAAAATTGGGTAGGGTATTGAAATATTTAACGTTCATTTGTCAAAAATGAGTCATTGTTGCAAATCTTTTTTGGATTGTCAGATTTTTTAAACTTTAAAGAAATTATGAGTTCCTTAATTTGTAAGTGTTTTAATAATATGCCATAGTTAAGCATATGTAAACTTGTTTAATATGTTTGATGGGCTGCAAATTGCCCACATGTGAATGTACGTATACTTTTGTTTCTACAATACTCAATGCAGATTTCAATAATATGCAAAGAACGTCATAAATAGCATCGATTAACATAATGCATGTTTCTAATACTTTTTTCTTTTTCTGGGGAATGTTTTTGTACATTTATACAAATTAAAATAGTTTCTTTTTGCACTTGTTACACAGATCGGCACATTTACTGACAGATCTAAGATAATTAGTTTATTTTGTACCAATAAGACTTGGATTAAGTTCATTTACACCACCGGTAACATGAATGTACGGTTGATGGAGTATTCGCTAAAATTAAATGTTTTTATGGGAGAGTTAATCCCTTAATACACCTATCATACACATAGTTTACACTAACGATATACGTAATACACAAAAACCATACACGTAGTACACAATAACGTTGTACGCACACAATTACCATACAAATAGTTCATAGTGAACTACTAAAATAATACACGTAGTTCACACTAACTTTGAGGTACATGAAGTACACACTTACCATACACACAGTACGCAATAACAGCACACGTAGTGCACAATTATGGTATACATGCACCATAAACATACAAGTGGTACATACTAACCATACACGTACACACAAGTACACATTGTTAGGCATGCACAGTTAATCATGAACCCTCCAATCGTATCAGTTCACAGTCATTACTGCCTGCTGCTCTATATTAGCATGTATTACATACTTACTAATAAATACGGGTTTTTTGTATAGGCGATACGACACAATTGCTCTAACCCATATCAGCCCTCGCCGTATCACACCCCACCCTCTCCGTATCAGACCGCAAAACCCGAATCACACCCCTTTTGAAAACTTTTCGATTTTCAATTATTTCAAAAGAAAAATAGATCATAAGATAGTAGATCATTCCGTATTTTATTAGTAAGTATGTAATAAACAGAATAAAACATGCCTTTTTCCATATCACACCCAGTATCAACCCTCAACCAATATCAGCACCTCGGGCTAATATTGGAATCTCGGGTTGATGCTGGGTGTGATTTGGAAAAAGGCATGTTTTATTCTCTACATCTACTACTTCACTGTTATCACAGTGATAATTGAAATTACACATCGCCCATAATTTGCAAGGATGTAAGCATACTGTAAAACGCCAAAAGTATCATTTAAAACAAAAATCACTTGTATAATGTGTAAGGTGCCATCATATATCAGTATTTCTAATACAAACCAACTATATAATTTGTAAGGAACCTGTATCTTTATTTCAAACTCAAATCACAGATAAAATGAGTAAAGTAGCATTATCCTTATTTAAGATACACAAAAAAACCCAAAGATAATGTGTAACAGCACATAACCTTAATACCAAACGCCAATAAACGCCAATAACAGATGTTCCAGGTAGCATATAACCTTATCTCATACAAAAACAATAGAAAACAAATATAAGATAAAATCTGAAATTAAAATACATGTGATGAGATTAGACAACACCACTAAAGCCTAGCTAGGTGAAAGTAATATGTGTTTTATACAATTTGTGAACGTATTTTCATGTATACATTTACATAATTTTAATTGGCAAGCGTTAGGTTTATCATTAATTAATAACTTGTTATGCTGATAAAAAAAATGTTGTACAAGTTAGCACGAAACAATAGATATCCTTAACACGAAACAATATATATCCTTAACTCTCTTGTTTTGGTGTCATTATTATTATCATTTATACAGTAAGCATACACTCGATTTCTGCAATGTTTGCAAATTGTGCATGTAGTGGAATTATGAAAAGATTTTAATAATACGGAAAAATTGAATTAAAAATAATGTGCAATATCTTGTACGTTCTGTCGTTTTTACCCAATTTGAACCGACCGTGACAGTTAACATTTTCCACACAGGAGTGAGACAGTTTATATTTGACAGTAATCATCAGTGTGACTGGTACATTGTATGGGTATTACCAGCTAAAGATTCATATATTTCATTGTTGAAACATCACATTGATACCACACATTGCATGCTTACTATCTTTTTCTAAACCTTCTAAAAGTCATTGACAATCGGACATTTGGCGTTTAATAGAATATAAATAACAACTACTAGTTATTTTCACTCAAAAGGTAGGAGAAAGCAGAATGCGGCAACATGGCAACACTGAGTTCACGTCAACAGGTAGGTAAGCTAAGTCATGTACGGTCATCGGGACTGATGGACTATATGTAATAGGTAATTAATAGGACTGTTTGTAAGTCTGTCTAGAACTAGTGGACTCTCATAATGTCTTTTTAAATCATGAGATTAGAAACGTTTTCATTCCCTCCACGAGTTGTGTTCACATAATATGTTGATACTTATGTGATTAAATTGGCAACGTACGTTAGAGAACTGTATTGTAGTAAGGCGAACTATTAAGCTATACATGGAATGTTGATTAGACGATCTTTGTGTTACGAACACTGTGTTAATATTACAAGGGTATAAATAACGCTTTTGGAGTATATAAAAGAATCGTTATTATATAATGATGTATTTTAAATCAATTTAATTTAGCATGTACTTCATTTGCGATTTTTTTAGTAAATACTTAATAATTAATAATTGGATAGTTATTATTTCTGGAAGCATTACAAAGAGTTTTGATTGGCGAATGACGTAATGAGAAAATGAATCTCTCGCGATAGGAAAGTGATTAAAGCGATTTAAAGTATATTAAATACTTTTAAGCAGATTCTTTTCTAATTTCATAATCTATCTTGATTAGAATGATGAACAATATATTTATCGGTTTGCATAGTGTTGAAGTCGAGCTTCACACGTATAGTTTGCATCACTTGAAATAAAATTCATGCTAAATGTAATGTTGGAACCTTTTGTTTTTTCTTGTTTACTGTTCTGGTTGACTACATTCAACAGCGGTTCATGTAAGATTTGTTATGTACGGTTATACATTACACTACTACTGTATATATCGCGGTTTGATATTTCACAGGAAATTGTTTCCAGTATCATCATTGTTAGCTTGCATTTGAAAAAGAAATCATCTGCTGCACATTTGTCGTGGAATCATGTCAGCTCTGCTGATTACATGCTGGTTTTGTTATAACAATAACGTTGAAATCCGTTGGTTATACTTGTTGATTAGCTTTCCACAGAATGAATTTCTATAATCATGCAACAGCGCCCGTTCGATATTGTTTGTACACAGCAAGCGGTCTTGAATAGATCAACATTGTTGTTAAACCTAGTCATAAATTGGACATACAAATATCCACTTACAACAGATACGTCAGATAGAGGCAGAATACAAAAGTACAAATGTGAAAACAGCAAAAGTGCGAAATAATACAACAAACGAAACGTTTGTATATAAAAAAGATTAACAAAAAATATACGCACAAAAAGATAACATAAAAGAAGATGAGTTAAGAGTTAAGTACATGCTCAAAATAGTAAAAAGAAATTTCTGCACAGGCAAGATTTCTTCATGTAAATTCTAGTTTAAAATGAGGTAAATTACGAAAATAAAAAAATAGACAGTAAATTACCGTTATATTGCAACTTACACAGAAAAATGTTGGCGTTATAAAGGGGTTAAGTGATAAACTGAAAAACACTTATGAGTCCTTAAGAAATACGGAAAAGGAAAATTGAATATGTTGGCGTTTAAACGACGTGGCAAATGGGATGAGGGGCGTCCTATTGATGTTTGACTTTACATGCAAAAAAACAAAATTTGCAAAGATGAATACGAAGAGATAAATATAAAGTTATACAATCAAAAAATACATAAATACATCTATATTTATACAGAAATATCGTGCAAGACAAACAAATAGATAAATACAAAACTCAAAGTCGGTGAAGAAAAACAGGAACAGAGGAGGTATCAAAACATTATTGAAGGTGAACCCGCACACAAAAGTTGCTATTTCCTAAAGTGTTAAGAGAAGCTGCAGGGGGTAATAAAAAGTTATGAAACAACCATGCTATATATGAAGTATGGCGTATATAATACATACACAAATATATCTGCCAGGTGTATATCCAGATTTGGCGGATATTAATTAATAAGAAACAGAGTACCTTCCCCTGAACAGACATTTGATAAAACATTGCAAAGATATTACCATCGCAACCATTTAATAATCATAACGCCAGGGATTTGCTGATGGTGACAGATGAATGTATTACAAATCTACCTACAATTAGAAGAGCATGTAAAAAATGTCAGTTTCAATTAATTTTTAAATTTGTCTAAATTAATTAAAACCACCAGTTTGATTATTAAACTACGTGTTTTTTTTAGTTTTAATCCTATTAATCTAAACTCGATCGCAAAAAATTACAAAAATTAAATAATAAATACGGAATATTCAGGAAATCAGCTATAGCTATGCCAATAAATCAGCAGACAAACCATGCTGACATTACCAGTTGGTCGAAGGAAGACAACTCTTCAAATGTTTTAATTAACTCACATTTCAAATGATATCGTTTTCCAGTTATTTTACCACGACCAGATAAAGCACCATTTTTGAGTCAACGTCACAGTATTTTGTTTTGGCTTCACATGAATACCTCGTTTAATGCAAACGTAAATACAAAGTAAGTTAAAGAGATTTGCAGTGTTATATTTAAGCTACAAACTATTCATGGAATTAAAGCAATATTTCAGGTGATTCGCATTGTGTTCTCTAAGGCATCAATAACCCCAGATAAACAGGGGGTGAATAAGGATCTACGGATGGGTAAGCTTTCCTGACATAATATGTGATACCAGACATGACGCCTCGTGATGATGTCACTTGTAGTCGGAGACAGATCCCTCCACAGTTGCTGTGATATGTTATGATTGTTGACGGATAGTTACAGGAACATTGACAATGTATGCTTAAATCAATGTCAAGTTATTGAAGCTATAACATTTTATTTTTTATTTTATTTTTATCTATGTAGACAAACAGAATCATAACAACATGAATGAAACATTGTTATGGTTTAACTGTTTTCATATAAATTGTCAATTAAAACATGTTGACTAAAACCAGACATGGCACAACACAAATAGACGTTATCCTTATACGAATGTTATTAGCGCAGTTTTGACAAAAATTCACAAATAAGTCACTTTATCTAAATAAAACATTTGCATTACCAATTTTTCGTTGGTATTCTTATCACATCAAATTATCTGTAAATGGGTTTATCATTAGTTACAGAATACACTGATGAACCTTAACATTATTGACAGAGTGTATCCTATGTAGGTTTGTGGGATATGGAAATTCTACTCCCGCCCCAAAGTAACCTACATAATATTTGACTCACACATCTTACCCAAAAATCTGTTTAGATTGACCACGACATTGTGGATGCGCCAACAACTATAATTGCTTTTTTAAATTCTGTACAAATTAATCAAGGACATATTTGGAAAGCATGAAAAGGTATACTATACAATTAAAAAGGCCTGGAATTGCTCCTCGGCAAGTTATTAAAAGTTGATTGTGTTATGCTTGCAGCTATTTTTCCGCTGACCAAAATTAGAATTTATGACATCATGTATCATATCGAAATGACGTCACATTTGTATGTCAGCCGATCTGGTGCTGAAACGTTTGTTTGTATGCACTCCGCAGTTACGATTTGGAAAATAATGTAGTTTCCGAACATGGGTCACTTGGTGCACCTATGATGGATAGAGTTATGGGACTGTGTGTCTTACATTCGCAAAGGTGGGAGAAAATCAAGAAAGCAATGATAAAGTAACAAAAGATACAACGACAGCTTTATAATTGAAAAATTAGTTGTAGTATGGTAATACAAATAAACTGTTATAGTATTACTGTATAGAGATACAATGTGTATTGTTGATAAGCGAAAGGTTTCTACCTTGGCATATAGGCATTGCTTATCAGCATATACCTCTTAGTGCTCAGTGTCATTTCAATGTGGACAATCAAGGACGCAATGTCGACAAACGATGAAGAGACGAGGAAAAAAGGCAAATACATTTTGGTGTTNGGTGTTTTTTTTCGTAAGTCATTTTTTTTTTTTTTTTTTTATCAATGTTTGACCAGTGCTAATGTACCTTTTCGCGAAAACAATAGCGTTTGGAAAAGAAAACAAGCTCTATAGATTTAAAAGTGTTACCTTTGCAATATCATAATGCTGTGTTAGTGCGATGAAAAGTAATTCTAAAGTAAACACTAAATTCCGTTTCTATACATGTATTTCAAACGACAACGTCATACGTTCCCTGTGTAATTATATATTCACATTACTACTTCAGCGATAAACAATAAATATCAGATTTAAACTGCTAACACTTGGTTTAAAATTGATATGGTTTTCTTTGTGCACAGAGGGACATAACGTCATTTGGTTGGGAAATAACATTTTTCTAAGTACCATTACGATTTCAAAGTTTTACTTTCTCCACAAACAATGTATATATTAAACGGGTTGCCTGTGTAGAAAGTAAAACTTTGATATCACATATTTCATAACTGATGAATCTTATTGAAGATAAGTACCATTACCCCAACATGTCTCTCGATATCACTTTGAATTCTTTATTTCCCTTTTGTTTTATGATATATATATTTCGGAGCAATGAAGACATGATTTTTCATTCTATTTCACTTTTAGTACCACTGATGACAAAATAGCCATATGGTACAATAAAATGTTGACTTTGTTCGGCTTTCTGCATTGACAAACAACATCTAAATAGGTGCTTTATTACTTTGTATTTCTGGGAATTTCTTATCAATTGATTTGTGAGTTTTTTCTTTCATAGATATCCGTTCTGTGTGTGATCCGAACAGATGGTAAGTTATAACGAAATTAAAAAAATCTCTAGTAACCTCTAATGATAGTGTATCTAAACTTTATTTCTTTAGTCCAAACAAAGTTTCCTTATCTTTTTGTTTTGGCCGGTAAGAAATCCAAAATGGCTGTACCATCCTTTATTTAGGCGTTTCCGAATTCATCTCAAGACTTACGAAGCTAATAACTCTATCCTTTCTGAGAATGATCGTTATTATGTCCCAACAAAGTGGTCTTAATGTTGGGCCAGTCCAAACTTAAAAATGGCTTCCATGGGTTCTGACTGGCTGAGACATTTTCTACTTCCTAAGAACGGTTACAGCTATTGGGTTGAAATCTTGGTGCAAATATTCCTTATAAAGGCCCGACAAAATTAAAGTTGGTGTTTTTAAAATTAAAAACAGACGTTCAACACATCCTTCAACAAAACTTGGTGTAAATGCTTGGCATAAGTCCTTATATTAGAGTTCTTACTTATTAGACCGATTCAAAATCCAAATCATCACCTTGAGCTCTGACTGGTTGTGATATTTTTGATTTCTTTATGATACAGCTTTTGACTCCAATCTTCCTGCGAACAATTTCTTAGTTCTTAGCCCACATGTAACTGCAGATCAAAGTGGACACTCTAAACCAAGCTATTAGCCGACCACTCACCGGTCTTTTTAACAGACACCTTGAATTTGCTGGAAACTTCTCATTTTGATTTGCTACTTTACTTTATATAAACTAATCAATCACATTTGTACAACTACGTTAAGAGTAGGCCTACGTTTTCCCCAAATAAATTTAAAACCTCCTCTAAAATACAGCATTAAGACTTTTCAAAGGTGACTGTTAAGGTCCTTGGGTCTCATCTGATTTATTTTACAGTATGATAATTAATAGCTACCGCGAACCTAGCTAAAATATAATTACGGCAAAATTAAGTACTTTTATACAGTATCTCAATCTGTAGGGTACACGCGTGAGGTTCGTTGTAAAAAACAAATAACGAGATAAATATCACTTTCCTAAC